TGGCTCACCATTTTGTGAGTGGGAACAATCAGCTATGTAGGTTGGAGGGAAGTATTATAATTAAATGTCCACCCACTTTTTCCTTTTTGATGAAAGGCTCCCATGAAACTTACTAAAATAAGGTGCATCAAGACAGATGAATTTTTGATGAATAAGTCAAAGCACTGACGAAGCTGGCTTTTCACAAAGAGAAACTTCTCTTTAATTCACAGAAAATTTTCAGGCCTAGATCATTAACAGTGTCATATGTAATGATAATTAATATGGCAAAACCCATGGGATAACTGAAGATTTCACCATTTTAGTTGGTAGCAGCTACAGTGTTCAACCTGAACTGACTTGCTGAGAACAAATTATAATAGGATTCAAAAATAATAACAGAGTTTTTAAAAATTAATTTTAGAGAAATATTTAATAAAAGCCATTATAATAAACAATGCATTCATTGAACGTAATGGCATGCTTCTGAATAATAGTTATACTACCACATTAAAGTTATCCCCATTTCAGAGATATGGGCAAAGTTCTTTAAAGATGTTATTAAATTGTCACTCAGTCCTTCTGAGGGAGATCTGGAGCAGAGTTTACAATACCCGCTTTTGATAAAGGGCAAAAGCATTTACTAACATCACTGTCAAGAATTATTTTAAAGTATCCATGTATAGTAGAGTAGGGAGGTACGCTACAAAAAAAATGGGCTCAGGCATATATCTCAAGTCCAGTTACTGGAATCCCCAAAGTCAACTTTCTAGAAAGAAAAACTGAGTTGCTGGTATGAATGTTCCTTCATTCAATACAGATTTATTGAGCACTAGCTGAACAGACTTTGCTATTAGAGGAGGCTCAAAGCAATAAAAGATAAACTCCTTACTGTTTAGATTACTGAATATTTTTATTTTTAAGATAAAATTAATATTTTAAATTTCCTGTTTAATACGTATTATTGGTGGAAGCCAGTAGAGTTAATGGTCACCATCAGCACAAGATCAAAGTACCGGGGAGCATAATTCAATGAGTACATTTGTCATTAACAGCTAATCACTATGTGACGATGATTTTTAAAATGCCAACCTCTTGACTCCTGCTTCTCATTTCCACTGTGGCTTGGTGGATCCAGAAGCACAGGGTACCTTGCATGTTCAAAGTAGGAAAAGCTTTACGTAATAGCTACTTAGTTAAGCATAACTAAGTTAAAATTAGCCACAAGGATCTAGGTTCTCCAGTTATTGTCACTCCCCAGTGGGTTATTAAACCCAGTGATGGTTTAATAACCATCATTTCACCCATGATCATTTTATACAAAACTACATGATAATATAGCAGGAGACCTCAGACATGACCCACTACAGAATGGGAATATTCAGGCCCAATTTATAGGCCACTCTGCTCTTCATTTCCATTTTTTTCTCCAATACTCCCAATCCTTTTGGTTTCCAAATTTCTATTACCATGGAATTTCTTACTGCTTTGTGTTGGGCTTTGTGTTCAGTTCCACTTTTTATTATCTTTTTTGTGAAAGTTACACGTTGATCACTATCTAAAGAGTTCCTTCAACAGCATGGAGTTTTTCTTCAAAGATCTGATAGGAATTCTTTAAAAATGGACTTTTTTTTTCCATTTAAGTCTTACTTCAACAAGTTCACTGATTTTAGATTTCTCTGACAAACATAGTTGAGGTATCAAAACCCAGACATGTTGAAAATAGCTTTTTCTTGAAGTCATTTAGAATCGAAGACTTTCTGTCCCGCTATGTCAAATTACCCAGCCTGGGAATAAGATGGGTGTATGTGCTTGTCTGTGTAGTGGACAGGGAGGCAGGAGGGAGGAGGAGGATTAGTAAGGAGTCTATACAAAGTGACTCACAATGTCCTCTAAAACTCATATATTTAAGCTCTCCTATTTCCCTGGACTCTGTCACAGACACTTCTGTCTCAATGTTTGTAGTAAATTAACAATGATTTTCTCTGTTGCTTTGGTGAGACAGCTCCTTTCAAAAAAGAATTTTCCTGGAGGACAAATGCAGTGCTTTTTTTTTCCTTCTTGATATACATAAACAATCTAGCGTGCAAGCAGTATACTTAAAAACCATCTTCCTTTTCTCCTATGTCTATATCTCTTAGAAAACTAGAAGTCTCTCAATTGTAAAAAGTATTTGCTAGATAATAGAATTTTAGAAACTGCTAGTGACCTTAGACATTATTTTGTTTAACCTTCACTTTATAGATAAAGCAAACGAAGCCCTGACAAGAGAAGTGTAGTAGATTAAAGGTGGCCACACATACATTACTATTCCTTCCACTGAGAAGTGGAGTCTCACATGCCCCCTCCCAGACCCTTGTGTTTGGGCAGGCTCTGTGATCGCCTTGACCTATAAAATAGAGTGGAAGTGGCACTCTGCCAATTTCTGGGCCCAGGCCTTAAGAGAATGTCAGCTTCTACTTCCTGTCTCTAGCTTGCCTTGGGACTTCTCATCTCAGAACCCAGCAACTGTGCTGTGAGAAGCTGAAGACACGTGGCGAGGCCCTGCATGGGTGCTCCAGTCGACAACAACAGCTAAGCTCCTAGCTGTCAGCTAACACGTGTTGAATGTGCCATCTTCTATGTCTAGCCTGGTCAAACCTTTGGAGGGCTCCATCCCCAGCCAGTATTTGACAGCAATCACATGAGAAACTCTAAGAGAATTGCCCAGCTCTGCCCGATCAACGCACAGATCAGTGAGAGAATAATAAATGGTTATTTTAAGCCACTAAGTTTGGGGATGGTTTGTTATGTAGTAAAAGCTAACTGGAACTGAAAATGACTTACACCAGTTTCTAAGTAATACCAGAGTGAGAACGAGAAGTCTCAAAAGCTAGCATAGTCTCATTATAATGTGTTAAGGGAGCACACAGAGTTAAATAAGACCCATTCTCAGTACCCCAGTAGCTCAAAATTCCAAAATCTTTTATTCTTTCAATATTTATATGAAATACAGAATTTTCAAAATCCTCAAATATTTAAAATAGATTCTTAGAGCTCTTTCTGCATAATAATAAACTATCATTTGGTAATAAATTAAGGTGTATTCTCAAGTGTTTCTTGAATGCAGTACCTTAGTAATAAGTGTCATGAAAGAAAGAGTTCCTTAGGTAAACTGATTTGCGGAAATTCTAACTTAAACTAAAGAAGTGTCTTTATCTCTGGATCTTTCAGAAATGTAAAATCTCCAGGAGGAGAAATAGATATAACTTTTTCTCAAAACTGCGTCCCTTCAAGGGGCTCCTCTTTATTGAGCTCTTCATGAGACTTATGTTGCATAAAAACACTAAAAGGAGAAATAGGACTAGGGATGAAACTTTATTCACAGAAACCAACTTTTAATTTCAGAATAATTCACCAAAAAGTTGTTTTCATAATTTGATGTGTCTTCAGCTTAGAGAATACATTTTTAGACAAAACTTTTACGACTGTCAGGGACTACACTTAGGTGTCTTTAGTGACCTGCTCCCTCTGCTCTGCTGTCTTACTTTTAACATTTTCCTGGGGAATAGCTAACAAATATTTGAGCAAGGAGTACAAGAAGGAAAAAATAAAATTAGATAAATAATAAATAACTGAATGAATTAGTTAAAAATTGTGAACCTGGAAATCAGCTCTGACTCTAATTAGTTGGGTTTTGTACCTTTATTTCCATATAAGGCGGATAGGAATTGTATCAGTTGCCCTGTCTCACAGAGTTCTTGGGAAGTTCAAAGCAGATTTCAAAGTTGGAGGTGGGGCAGTTTTAGGGCTGAAATGATCTTAGTAATCATCTATCTATCCACTCCTTTCATTCTCAACATGTGAAGACTGGAATCCAGAAAGAGAATTTATAGTGCAAATGTTGGCTACATTGGAAACTTCCTTCCCAGTGGATCCACGTTAAAGATGTTGGGAAAGTCCTCTATTTTAGTAGATGTTATATTGAATGCTGTGATTCTAACTCGGGTGGTGACTATTTCTAACTCACAAATTTTATAAGCAATTTGGGCACCAAAACACATATGTCACCAGAGTTCATGGCTAACATAGGAAGGTATGGCAGTCAAAACGTTTAATAAGTAGTATGGCATGGGTGCTGACAGTGAGAATAGAGGCTAGCCATATGCAAATGGTCCAGTCATACTGATAAGTAGCAGCAGTATATCAGCTCTAGTATACAGATCTGGTCAATCACATTTTCCCCTTCCTGCCGCTGGTTCCTGACCATTAGAGTACTATCACCCTTCTGGTGTTAGAAATTCTTCCATTCAGAATTTCTTATACTGTGGCTCTTTCTTATAATGTGGCTGCATTATTGATGCCCATAATACAGTAGGTTCTGTTAACTACCTGCTGGGACTCGCCCAGCACTTCATGGCTCCTTCAGCAATATGCCACCCTGCCCCCCAAATCATGGGACATTTCCATGTTTCCAGTTTCCAAGCAAAAGGAAATTATAGTTTTATTACCTCCTCTTACCCCTACTAGGACATGGACCAATCCATTATCCCTATTTAATTTTCCTGGATCTCTCTACCCCTGTATTCTTGCTCTATAGTCACATTACATAGTTGAATATGATTTGAAAGGCTCAAGGAGTAATATAGCCATGAAAAGATGGTAGAGAAACAATAAAATGGCATGAGATAGAGTCTTTGATACTTTTAAGTTAGAATGGGAAGAAAATATTTGTAAGGATAAAACAAAGTATCTGTATTTAACCAGTTTTTTGTGTGTAGCTCTGAAAAAATAAGCATTTTTTTAAAAAACAATACTGATCATAGTTTCATAGCTCTTTCTAAATAAATTGTTCCTTTTCCAAGCCACTGGGGGATGGTTTATACAATTTGACAAATATACCTTGAAATTACCTTGGTCCAACTCTGCTTCATCTGTAATAAGTTGTCAGAAGTTTTTATTTGACTACAATTCAACTGTTAATGGGGAATGAGAGCCTCATTCTCCTGGATTTAGAGTAGTTACAGTTCTAGTTCACTTACCTCTACAAGCCTGCTGGTGTGTTCACGAAATATTGCAGCATATTCTTTTATTTCCTTTTCCCGGCCATTCTTGGCAGCTTCAATAAGAACCAAAAGTGGGACTGTCGTATCCAAAAAGGAGTCTGACACATGATCTATAATAGCCTTGCGGAGCTGAGAAGAAATAAAAAAGATTCAGGGTTTTTTTCCTCAGAAAGTAGTTCATGTTATTTCCTATTTTTACAATCTCAATAGTTACAAAATTCATTTTATATATTTTTTGCATAATCTCTAAAATCATAATATTTAAGATGGTGTATGAAAGTCACTTACAAAGCTAAAACAAGGAAAATATCCAAGAAAAAAATCATTGAGCAATAGCTCTTTTGCTGTCAAAAATCATTAATTTTTTCTTAAATTGTATCTAGCCCAGAGGTCAGATTATAAGTGATAATCCTCCATTTTTCCCTCAAAGAAATTACACTATTGTAATGTTTATGCACATGTACAAACAACATTGCACATCATGTATTTTCATAATTACAAAATTATAAAATGTTTTCTACCTTGTTGGAGGAACTGATGATACATTTTGATTAACTAAATTGCAGACTTCATGGTAATTAAACCAAGTTAGATCACTGATTATGCCAGCTGATAATAGATTAATAGAGCAAGGAGAATAATAAATGAATTTGATGTCCAATTTTCTCTGTTTGCATTAATTGTTCTTGCCCTCACACCTTAAATTATTAAACAAGTATAACATTCTGCTACAATTAGTTCTTTTAAATTTGATTAAGTGTAAGCTTATACATGACAATCAGGCAATTACTCTACTCAGCACATATTTTCTGAAATTTAAAACTGTGTTGGAAAATTAATGAATTTTATTTATACTTCATTGAGCCCTTAAGGATCACAGTATCTTAAAATGTTTCATTAACAATGCCAATGACTATGAATGACCCTAAAGTTTTTTGGTCAACCTCTTCATTTAATTTAATAACCTCTATACAATAAAACAAAGAGTTAAATAGATATCAGACAGGAAATCTATAATTTGCCTTTCATGAAAATTATATTTTAGGGTATTTTTTTAAACCAATAAACACTTACCCTAGTTTTGGATTACATGAGAATTAATAATATATTTTAAAGGGGTTGAATGATGTAGGTGCATGAAAAGCACTATCTTCCCATAATAATTATAGGAAAATAAATCCATAATAATTATAGATTTCTGGGAGAAAAATATCCCTGCATAAGATGGTAGAGCTTTCTCAGAAGAATTGAAATTTTCTGGCTACCAACAATTTCACAAAGGCTGTAGGAAGATCCTCAAAGAAAGATTCTGCTTAGCATGTAGAAAGGCAAATCACTAATGGCAATAAACTAATATTTACTGAGCACTTACTAGGACAAGATGTAGGGTGCCAAGGGGTTAGGAGGCAAGAAGAAGACCTTGAGTAAATGAACAATGTGTTTGATGTCCATGAAGAATGGACCAGGGAAGTCAGGCAAGAGATCATAAGCTGGGAACTATAAATTTTGTTAGTTCCAGATACATAAGAGAAAAGTAGAAGGAATCTCTCAGAGGAGGAACAGTTTTCAAGCATGGTCCCTCCTCTTTAATCTTTTTCTTCTTTCATTTGTAACCAGGACATGTAGAAAGAGGGCTAAGAGGAGATCTGCATTAGAGATATGTGATCGAAAGCCAGCACACATAAAGGAGGTAATTCAAGCCGAGGATGTAGGTAGGATCATTTGGAGAAAGATGCACAGTGAGGAGATGTCCAAGAATGAAATCTTATGACATACTACCATTTGTGGGAGTCATGCAGATGGAAAAGTAGGACATAAAAAGAAAATGAGATGATGGCCAAGAAACAAAGAGAGCAAATGACCCAAGACTAAAAGATAAACTTTCAAATAAATATCTATGTCAATACTCTCCAAATGAACTTATCCTAACAAACATAACTATAATACCCACATCATGGACTTGCTGAATCTTCTTTTCCATGTATTTGATTTCATTCAATTCAACAAATATTTCTAAACACCATTTCCTTATCTTTTTACCAAAAGCAAGGTATTGTGAGAAATGTCAAGATGGAAACACATGGTCCCTTATAATCTAGTGGAGGAGTGAGAATCATTAAATATCACAATAAAGGAAAACCAGGAGATTGAAAGCAAAGAAATTTCAAGAAGATAATAGGTTTCAGAGTCTAATTTTAAAGATAAGTTAAATAAAAAGAACCAATATTTGTCTGTTGGATTTGACCACTAAGAGGTTATTGATGAACTTAGCAAGAGTAGTTTCAGTGGAAAAGTGAAAGCAGGAGTCCTATTGCTATGGTTTGAAGAATAAATGGGAGACAAGGAGGAGGAGACAATGAAAATAAACTCGTTTCCTGTACAGTGATGCATCACTTAACAACAGGGATACCCTTTGAGAAATGTGTTGTTAGGCAATTTCCTTATTGTGCGAAACACCATAGAGTGTACTTACACAAACCTAGATAGCATAGCCTACTACGCACCTAGGCTATATGGTACTAATCTTATGGGACCACCACTGTATATGCAGTCCATCCTCAACTGAAACATTGTTGTGTGGTGTATGACCGTAATGTGATTACGACATGAAGAAGCAAGACTTGGTACTAACTACATTGACACACAGGTTTAAAGAGAGAGAGTTTCTCCTATAAAAGACTTTGATGTAGGTTCCCATCTACAACTTTACCCAGAAAGTCAGGCTGTCCTCTTGTGCTTTTCAAGAAATACATTTTAATTTATCACCATACAAAAATCTAGAGAGAGAGAGAATAACTATTGTCATAAATTGTGCCAATTTTTCTAACTCCTTAAATAATTATAGCAATCTTCCTTCAGCACTGGATGCATTTGCTATGATCTGTGTGTCTCTACTCTGTGGTGCTACCTTTTGTCTTCTCTTCATTTTAATAGCATTTACTTCCCTGTTCTTTTTTTATTTCTTCAAGGTTTCAACTATATTTTCCCTGCTATTCACTCAAGTCCTTCATCCCATATATGAGTGTTGAAACACTGGAAAAGTGAGGCTTGAGGAATAGCTGATTTACTATTAATTAAACAATAAATAAATAAACTCTTTGGCTAAATTACTTTTTAAAAAATTAAACCAAATTAGGATTACATTTTTTGCTTCTTTCTAAGGCATATTGCTAACTATATAACACAGTAAATGAGAAAAGGTATACCACGGAAGGGTGATATTATGTTCAGTAGGACAAAACAGAAGGACTGGAAAAGGAGCTTTCAAATAAGTTGTGTGCCAGTGTTTTCAAAATTCTGTTGGAAAACGGACTGAAATTACCTGACATAATATAACATCAAATATAATGAGAAAAATAAATCTTTTCTGTAGTTGTGTATTCATTCAATTTAATATATGCATTTTGAACTTTCTCTCTAAGGGCAAGGCACCGTTCTAGGCAACATGGGGAAGGCTAGCATGACAAAAACAGGGTAACTGTTAAGGAGTGAGAGATACACACAGTTTGATGAGTATCTTAAAAGAAGCGCAAACAAATAAGAAACAGTTAGATGTGATTGTCATGGTTAAGAAGGTTTCTGTAAGGACAGGACATATGTATTCCATTTCAAAAGCTGAATAGCATGTTACGAGTTAGAGCAGGGAAGTGGGAAGCAGTGCATTCCAGGAATAGAGACTATCAAAAGCAAAGAAAATAGAGGGATCCTCAAGACATCACAAATATCTAGTGTGACTTGTACAGAGTGAGGACTGAAATAGGATTTCGTTAAGTACAATGGAGGTACTGGAAAGCATTTCAGGTAAAGAACAAAATAAGACAAAAAGATTAAAAGATGACAGAAAGAAATGGCCAGAAATTGGTGATTTGTGTTAAACATGTGTGATACCTTTAAGAGATAGTATAGTCAGCAGGCAGGGAGAAATCTTCCTCTTCAAAAGCATTTTAACCCATGCAACAACAAATAGTGCAATTAATTCAACCAACCCATGATTTTCTTACCAAATTGTCTGTCTTGCTGATTCCTGATCGTTTACCATCACATTCATAGCTACGATTATGGACTCTATTAGGGGCTTTTGGTGTTTACTTCTCATCTACTGGACCAGGCTCTGATTTCAGCTATTGCTATGGAAAACAGTTCTATGTCCTCTGAAGATATCCCATATCAACTGCATTCCATGCTTGTCTTTGTTATTCTTTCTCAGGGCCTGCTCCAAGTCCCTGTAAGATTCTCAGCCCAAGCACAAACAGCCTGGAAGTTCTGGAGAGTCAATACCACTGGGAGCAACCCTCAACCAACGGGGATGGGAGCTACTGGATAAAATTCCCAGCCTCCATCCATTGGTCACACAATTCTGGGAGGCATTGTGTCCCTTCTCAGAGGTCCTTAAGCCCCTGTTACCTATAGCAGCAACCTCAATAGCATATCCTTTCCTCCTTGCCTGCCTGTTTTCTTACATTTCATGTTCTCTCACACTTGCTTCTTGGAATCACTTTCCAAAAAAACTGCCTGCACTAAGGTCCCAGTCTGAGTATTCTGCTTTCAGGGGAATCCGATATAAAATAGACATATAGACATATTTGTCTGGTATTAATGTTCTTTTGTCATGTACCAAGTAACAGACTCCAACGTCTTACATAAACTACCCATTGATGACCACACTTTGTCGCTTCTGCTTTGCCCATCGCTGGGTTTGATTCTGCCATTCCTTGTTTTATGCTGACTGTGAAAGAGAAATTATTATGAGCTAGGACTAGAAATGCAGATGAGGACAAGATATGGAAGGCCTTGAATGCTATGCTAAGTAATTTTCTATATGTGTTCTGACATATTCATATGGGATATTTTTTCATTTAAATTATACAGTCATCTATATCTATGACATCTAAGTAGTCTCTACCTTATTTCCATATTATTTTCCTGCCCAGTGGAACAACTCATTCTTTTCACTTGGGTGATATACAAAAAACTTTAAAGGAGAATTCAATATGCCAGTGTAGAAATAGGGCACTCTTAGAAGCCACAGCACTAAAATCTGAATTTAGAGGGAGGCCAATAGGAGTTAGAGGTATGTATTTTCAATAAATACCTGTTTGTGGCCAGGCATGAAAGATGTCAGGCACAAAACCAAACTGAGGGGCTTTCCATCTTTTTCCACCACAGTTTAATAAAAGGCTTTGAGACATCAATTTTTCTATTTCCCATTGATGTAAGTGCTTCAAGATCTCAAATAAAAGAATATATTTCTCTACAATTGAAACCCAAAAGTGAAAGCTGTATGTGAAAACTATAAGAAACCCTGCCCCCACCACCACCAAATAAGGGAATAGAAAGAATGAGATTGTGAGGGGATGAGGAATGGAAAGAGGAGAAAGTGTTTTAGAAAAGAATCATATTCAGTGAACTAGAAAAACATATATTTGTGAATATTGTCATTTTGGTTTTAAGTAAAATAGCAAACTATGACTTCTCTGAACTTAATTGATTAATAGGAATTAAATCAACTAATAATTAATTCAGCATATACCTACTGTGTCAATTTAATGGGACTTACATCTTATGAATACTTAATATTGTTTGATGACGATGAGGAGGAAGAGGAATAAGAACCTACATGTTTTTTTCTGAGTGTGGCGCTGGTACTATAAACATGGAGAAGCAAAGGATATAGCAATTTAGCAACTCAGCAACTAAAGAATTAATCAAGTTTTTGTTTTGTTTGTTTGTTTTTACCAGAATCTTATTTTATTTGGCATACCTCAACTCCTTACTTTGGTATTTACAAAATAGACATTTTTTTCTCAATATACACAAATAAAAATTTTAAGTTGCTTTTAGTGAAATCCAATGTATATTTCACTCTGCATAATACAGTAGAAATGGAATATATTTGATTGTTTTAGTTTTTTAATGAAGTAAAGGAGGTTTAGAAATCTTCCTCCCTTAGTAAGAATTTCAGTAGGTATGCAGTTCTCAAATGAATGCTGGGAAGGGAGACTAACAGAAGAAGAAAATTTAAATTTAAAAAGGCATATAAAGTAAATAATAAGGAAAAAAAATTATGATAGTAAAATCGGTGTAGTAGGCACTGGGAGTTCTGAAGGTGATTAGGCTATTTTCCCTGGCCCCTGGCAGGGTGGTTACAAATTTGGGTTGGGGTTGGTACACCTGGACTCAAACCTTGGCTCTACCAGTTAGTTGGATAATGTTCAGTAAATTGACTCACCTGAGAGATGGAGATAATAATACTATGGCATTATTTCTTATTTTAGGGATAAAGTCAATAATGTAAGGACCACAGTTGGTAAAGAGCATTTTGAAAGCATTTAGTAAAGGAGAGATGTTGTCATAACTATCATTTTAAGGATTTAAAATCAAGTGGGAAGAAAAATCTATTAAAAAGAAAAATGCAAGCAGAATACGATCATTGCTGTAACAGAATTACACGTGCTATAAGTGGTCTGGGAAGAAAAAGATAAGTTCCAGGGTATGAAAATGGCAAAGGTTTTGTGAGAGAAGTAGCTTTTACATTAGTCTTGAACTTCCTTGGTTGATTAGGGATTGGGTAGGGAGAGTAAGGGGTACGGTGAAGGCACCAAGTTGAACAAGCCATATATACAGACATGTGTGTGTTTGGGGGTGAGGAGGGTGGTGATGGAAAATGTGATGAATGATAAGTAGACTCTTTAATCAGATAATAGGTTAATGTGCTGGTGTGGTGAGGAGGAGGAACTGAGAAAGAGAGTGGAAGGAGAAGGAACATTAAGAAAAATGGGGATTAAGTCATGGCCAAATCACAGAGATCCTGGAACACCATGCCAAGGACTTCTGTCTTTGTTCTCTAGTACAACAGACAAGAAAGTCACAGAGCAAGAAGGATGAAACAAATAAATACCAAGTCATCTCCTAGGACACTTTGTCTTATTGCCCTAAAATGTATAACTTGCTTCTCCCCAGATATGTCTAAGTGATCTATCTCATTCCTGGTAGAAGAAGTCTAAAGATTCTCTGAACCAAAGCTAAAATGTTTCTGTGTTGCTGATGGACAAGCCATGGGTAAGACTGGGCAGAAAGATGGGCTCTGCTTAATTTTTACTAAAAACAAACAAACAAACAAAAACAGATCTAGAACAAGATATGAACATTAAATATTCCAAAGAAAAACATTTTAAAGGTAGGGGCTTTCTCCTTCCTGTGTGAAAGAGTGTATATCAGATGCTTAAAACAAACTGCTTGATAAACTTTTTAAGAATAAGAAGAGGTGGAGATGACTCAGGTTGTTGTTTAAACTAGTTTTTTTTTTTTTTTTTTTTTTTTAAAGATTTTATTTATTCAGTTTTTCCCCCCAAAGCCCCAGTAGATAGTTGTATGTCATAGGTTCACATCCTTCTAGTTGCTGTACGTGGGACTCGGCCTCGCGTTGGACAGAGAAGTGGTGCCTCGGGGCGCTCCCGGGATCCGAACCCGGGCCGCCAGCATCAGAGTGCGCGCACTTAACCGCTAAGCCACGGAGCCGGCCCTAAACTAGTTTTTATTATTGCCCAAAGCATAAACCTCAGGATGGAAAACAAAGTCCTAGTGAAAGCAAGTAAGGATACTGAGGACAAATCATAGCAGCTGCCTCATTGACATTGAAGACTATGGATGTCTCCAAAGACAGCTCCTAACAATCCCACCCCTTCCTGTACACACATGCCACTTCTCCCACAAGAGATAGAGCTTCTACTTGCTCCTGTTGAACTGGGGCAAGGTTTGTGACTATTCTGATCTATAGAAAGTGGAGTAAACAACATTCTGATGACTTTGGAGCTCAGGCATTAAGAAGGCCTGGTAGCTTCCATCTCTCCTTTCTTGGAGCTTTGAATCCTCATGTAAGAAATCCAGGCTACTCTCCTTGAGAGAGAAGCCACAGAAAGAGGCCCTAGAAGCTTAGACACCACCTGGAGAGAGGGAAGAAGAAGAAGCACTGGGGCCTCAAATACCCAGCCATGAACCCAGATACAGTCACCATTTGACAGTCACTAAATGGGAGACCAGAAGTGAAAACACTACAGAAATGGACCTGCTGACCCCAGCCCACCCATGGAATCATGAAACATAATAAAATGGTTGCTATTGTTTGTGGTGGTTTGTTAAGAAGCAATACTTAACCAAAACAATGAAGATGTTGACCTGTGAAACCAAAGGAAATTTTCATACCTCTAGAACACAGCAGTTCTCTACAAGCTGGAAACTTCCCCTTACTATGAAGAAAAGTATCAGTAATCCACTGTGCTCTTTCTATATCTCACTGATGGTAGGAAGGTGGAAATACAAGTAGGATTGTGAGATAAAATACAAGATGCCTGATTAAATTTGAATTTCAGACAAACACAACTCTTTTTTTTTAATATAATTATGTCTCATGCAATATTTGGGACATACTCATACTAAAACACGTTTGTTGTTAATCTGAAATTCAAATTTCACTAGCCATTCTGTACTTTTATTTGCTAAATCTGGTAATCCTACACACAGTGGTTACTTTATCTTGACTTTAAAAAAATAATAATAATGATTCCAAAAGCTTTGGATGTATAGATGTAGACGATCTTTTTGTGCATAACTTTGTTGAAGGCAGTAACTTTGTTGAAGGAATGAGACTGGAATGAAAGACATAATAGTTGATAGTTCATAGAAACAACTTTTCCAAGTCCTGAGAGGAGCAGATGGGATAGAAATCCTGATGAATATGGAAAATAGAAGTCACGCAATGAACAGGAAGGACGGCCTCGAGGGTGAGGCCTGAGGTCTGAGTCTCACGTAGGTTATGACCTGGTGTAGGTTCAATGCCTGTTCTTCTTTAGGCAGGTCACCTCACCACACTGGCCTGCTTTCTCATCTGCCACATAAGACAAGCTGTGCTAAGTTCCTTCCAACTCTTACATTCCATGATTCTAAGTGCTGACAGTAGAAATAGAATTCACATTACTGCCATAAAGTTGAGAAATTGGAATTTCCCCAGCTTTCAAAATTATGTTTTTACACAGCTAATGTTAACTGGCTGAGGGTCCCTGTTTATTCCATTTCCAAATCTACTTCTGAATTAAAAGATTGCTCATGCCACTTTACTAAATCTTCCCATTAAACTACAATAACATATTGCATTAAAAGCTTATGGTTGAAAAGCTTTTGCCCCTCTTTTATGAGTTAATGGTGACCAAGCTAAAGTTGTACATGAAAAAGAACTCTGGTTATTAAATAGCAGAAGGGAATGGAAAGCAAAGGTCTTTGAAAATAGCTAAGTCTTCATATTTCTGGGGAAAAAATTTTTAACTTATAGAATACTGGACTTCTAAATTATTAATGAAATCCTTTCTAATCCTGTGTTCCTGATGACCCAAGGTTAAAAAGTAGCCTTAACTTAAACAGAAACTAATTTTTTAAGCATCCTGAAAAGAATTGTAAGGGGAAATTGGTAGGGTCTCTGAATTACTAGCTGTTGGCTGTAAGCATTTGGATGATAAACTCAGTTATTAATGTAATAGAATCAATTTATCCACATTCCCTAAAAACCTACTATGTACCAGGCACTGAGAGTCATTTCACTTAATCCTCACAGCCCTATTAGGTATTATTAATTCTATTTTATAGGTTCAGAGAGGCTCAGGAAGATGAAATCTGTCCCCAAGATCATACTGCTGATGAGGGCAGAGCTAGCTAGCATCTGAATGTAACTGCCTAACATTAAGTCACGTGTTCTTTCTTCTACTTTATGTTTGCCACAAACACAGCTGAGGTATATAAAGGTGGAAAGTATATATTTATTATTCTTGTTTTGTGTCCTAAATTAATTTAAAAAGAACAAAAACAAAAAACAAATACTCCAGCAATGGAAAAAAGCTTCTCTTTGCATTCTGTGTCCATGTCTCTCTCTTCGCTCACCTGTCTGCGAAGGTCTCTTGTTTTCTTGCACATGTTGTCAATTGCAATATTCAGGGTATTACTCCTTTCCTTTTTTCCAGCCTGCAAGGGAGAAAAAAAATGGCATAAGCAATGGTATCAAATTACTCTTTATCACTTAGCAATTTGCTTTCTAAATTTCCTGAAAATAACAGCTTGAAAATTCAAGAATAGGTTTCAAAACTGCTATGATATTGCATATGATTCATAAGCACTTCACTTAAGACTAAGTAGAATGGTGATTAAAGCTCACATTATTTTCTTCTTTAAGCTTCTGTAATATTTCTGATACAGAGTTGGCTTGCATTTAGTGTGGCAGTAGGCAGAGCATTATCTCCAAGAAACTCTGATCTTCATTCTTAACAAGTTGACTCTAACCGCTAAGCATACAATTAACTTAAAAGCATTAGATGCCCAATTTGTCAACTTCTGTGGGAGTTTCTGAAGTCATTTTCACGGTGTATTGTGTAAGTTATGCAGAGCCATATTGGAGTTTTGCTAAACACTAAATAAAATATGCAGCGCAAATTCATACAATTTGCAAAAGTTGACCACAATTTTAGCTGACAATATTCCAAGAACAAATTGTTTCAAGTAAGAACTGGATGCTGTTTATGGCTCTTTAAGATAATTTGTGCAACACCTTTTCATTCTTTAAGCAGAACAGTTCTCTCTGTATTATCCTTTACCTAAATCTTTAGGCTATTAAGCACATAGAGTGTCACCTTGGTTGGTATTTTCTACATATTACTTTTGTGGGAGACAACTGAATTGAATCTAATCTTACTTTTTTCAGTGATATCTTTTATAAAAGAGATTGAAAAAAATCATTATGTGATTCACCTCTAGGAAAATTGCAACTATTTAAATTAATAAACTGAAAAGGGCTCTTGAGGGGAGACCTTGAAAATCCGTAAGGCAAGTTTAAGCAGCTGACAACTGAAGAAGTTTACAGCATGAACTCTATGAGGAAGGACATTGAGGCAAAGTACAGACTATGAGGCAGCATGCCATATACTACACCTAAAGACTAAATCCATACATAAATCCATACCTTCAAGTGGAAAGACTTCTGTACAAGATGTTCAAGACTGTCTATACTCTATCCAAACATAACTTGTTAGTCCTATCTTCTGCCACATCTTCTCAAGTACTATCCTTTACCGTGACAACATTCCTATACTTTTCCATCACTTCTCCCAAGTTCTTGCATATAATGTACCTTTGACTTCATCTAGTGTCTCCCCAAATAACCCCCTTTTGAAATCCTACCTGTTCCTCAATGGTTTCCACAAAGAGTGCCCCCAACAACTCTGGTCAAAAGTAAACTCGCAACTCTCCTTGTTCCAATAGCATTTTGAAAATTTCCCAATATACTCATTTTGTTACTGTGCATTCTCAGCACCCTTACTATACTGTTAGAATCTTGATGGTGGCAGGTATATATTAATTTTTTTTCTTTTCCTGATAGTAACTTACATAGGATTTACTGAATTACCTCAACTAGTTTATAAATGAATAACTTGATTCAAAACACAACATAGTTTTATTAGGGACCTGTTATATACCAGAAAGATGTCCTATTAGATTCTGGAGGAGATTTTAGCATCTACCCATGAAGGCCCAGCTAAAACACTCTATTAGCTGAGGTTGCTGGTACCCACCTAAACCTCATTTAGACCTATATTTTCTAGGTAGTAGTGTTATTGATATTTAAGATGGGAAAAATTACCATCATTTCAGACCATCTTATACACTGCAAAATGTTTGGTATCCATGGACCCCTGTCTGCTAAATTTCAGTAACAACTCCCAGGCACTATGACAGCCAAAAATTGGCCCCACACATTCCCAGATGCCTCCTACAAGGAAACACAGTAGAGGACTTCTAAGTCCTTTACCACATTTTATTTCTGAGAGTGAGTGTGCAGTATGTGCATAATGGAGACTATGTCTAATGAAGGAAGTGGGGAGAAGAGGGAAGGAGAGAGAGGAGAGAGAAATAAAGTTCTGGATGTCAGAGCGATAAAAGCAATGGTGGCAATTACCCAGATAAAAGTTGTGGCTACCTTCACAGCTCCTACCCAGCATTCTCCATACTAGCAGTGGAGAAGTGTAAAGTTAATGCAGGGCTATATAAGGCAATGGCATAAACAGATAAACAATGGGCTATAAGGCAGTTTCTAATTTTAGCTCTTGGTTGTATCTCTTTCCACTTCATGAAAGCAGAGATAGTCAAAAGGGGGCAGGAGTGGCACAGACAAAGAGACACACACACATACAGAGCATTAGGAATAATGTGGGAGACTCCTGTTGTGTAGGCCATAAAAACTCACTAGCTTCTATGATGTGATTCATCAGAACAACTAAAAGATGCCAGCTTTCTCAGAGCTAGCAGCAGTGACATACAAAATGTTAATAAAGGATGACAGGAGGTGACAGCATGAAGAGATTCAATAAGGACTATAAAGATGATTTCCTAATTTCTACCCAGAGCTTAACCTTAGTTTAAAATGTTTCAGTGGGTCAAAGATATTTTGTTCTGTAGGTAATAATAAACAGTCTCTATCACTACAGAAAGTGTAAAGTTCTCCCTTCTTTCCTCCCTTTCTCTCCCTCCCCCTCCCCCATCTTTCTTCTTTTTCACCTCCAGCTTTTATTGGGTCCTTGCTCTATTTATCCAGATTTATTTGGCTTCAGTCAAGCCATTTTATGGTTCTTTATTCCTTTTGCATGGCATAAAAATAAATAAAGCAAGTAGAAATAGCCCGTCCTGCTTAAAAGCTCTCATTCCTTCTGTTTTCAAAGCCTTAACAAATCATCAAGCAATGAGCTAGGACTGAAGGTGAATTGTGTGCATTGAGGTAAGGGACAGAAAGGGCAGGATATTAAAACACAACCACAGATAACAGTCAGAGCCTGCCTATATCCCAGGTGCTCAGAAGAGAGGATGCTCCTTAAAGGCAGCCTTGACAGGAGCCATCATTAAGTCAACAGAGCCCTGCTCTGTTGGAAATGGTACCACTTACACTGGAGTGCCAGAGGAAAAGACACAGAAAACATGGCATGGATCAGCACTGTATAGGGAAACTAATCACATTCTTCATCGGAAAATAAACTGCCAGGAAAGACTTTATTGAAAAGAACAGTTCTGAGCATAGACTTCATTCAATGAAATTTCATTAAAATTATTATTGCATATTATAAATACTGCCCCAAGGTGATCCAGGCTTATAATCTTAAACATGAGTCTTTCCCTCAATTCTGCCTCACCACTGCTCCCATGTAACTACCATGGTTAACTGCATTCTCTTGTTGTTTCCTTAAAGCTGCCCACACATTTGGAAAAAGTCTCTTTATAAATAAACTCTCCTTGAATTATACTAATTTGAGTGTTCCATCTGTTTCCTGCTGGGACCCTGCTAGAGAGAACTTTCTAACACTGTATTATCCAATATGATAGCCATGGGTCACATGTGGCTATTTAAATTAAATTATATTAAAATTAATTAAAATTTGCATTGAAAATTCAATTTCTCAGTTTTTTAACTTAAAGTGAGCAACAGCCACATGTATCTAGTGGCTACTGTATTTTACAGCACAGTTATAGAATATTTCCCTTATCACAGAAAGATGTAATAGATAGCACTGTTCTAAAACATATCTTTGTTTATTCAAATGTACGAGTTCCGACTTTTACACGTAACCTTTAAGAATAAAATAGTGAGCAAGAAACAAACAAACAAACCCCTCAAGGTGTTTACTCTCTGGTAAAGAAACTTGAGGTCTAATTATATCCCTTCTTTGTTCTAAAACCCTTCACTCTATTCCCATTGCCGATGGAATTAAGAACAAACTCTTGATCCTGGTGTTCAAGGCCCCACATGATTTACTCCCATATTTACTCATAAATCATTAACGAGATACCTTAATGGGTCCTTTATTTTCTATGCAATACAGTCACAACTCAGGAATTCTGCTCAGGTAAAAACTTCATTTTTGTACTTGTCTCCTACTTTTCTGATTATAGACTTCTTTTAAGACTCAAATCAATTACTAAATTTTTACATGGAGCCTTTTTTGATCTTCTCGGTTGGAATCAATTATTTTCTTTCATTAAACTTTCTTATACTTCTTATATTTTTTAATAACACTTGGTTCAATAAAAAGTACAATCTATTTGATAAATCTTTATTATTTCCTAATTATATGTAAGGCATATTACATGCCAGGCACCATACTAAGGACAAATGATACATTAGACATAGTGCCTGCCTTTGAGGAGCACACATCTAATGGTAGAAATAGATATACACATAGTATTGAATAGAGGTATCCAGGGTAACATGTGGATCAAGGGGAGCAACATTCCCATTAAGGATGAAGGCAATATTCCTAAGAAGGTAACAAATGAGTATTGAAGAATGTGTAGGAGTCAGTCAGGTGAAGATCAAAGAGAAACTCATTTTAGGGGGACAGAGATAGCTTCAGCAATGGCAAAAATCCTTAAGGAGTATTTGGTAACCAGTATAAAAAGTATGAGGGGAGGCCGGATCCTGGAGGTTTGTGCCACATTAAGAAATGAGGTTGATCCTATTGACAACTAGGAGGCATACAAGTTAAGCAGGTGAGTGACACAGAAAGACCATTATTTCAAATACATCAGTCTGGCTGGAGGGTGCACAATGTATTTGAAGAGATTAAGAACAGAGAGAGGCAGAAGAGTTAGATGGTCACAGCAACAGTCCACAAAAGATGAAAAGTGTTAAAATTAATGCACTGGCAGTCAGGATAAAGAAAATTGACAGACTGAAGGACTCGGAATGAGTAAACTGCGTAGGATGATGACAGGCAGATGCTGGGGGTGAAGGAAAGAGAACCATCTAGGCTGGTGCCCAGGTTTCCAGCAGTGATGACTGGCTAGATAATGATGCTATGAACTGAGAAGGTCATTTCAAAGGGAAAACCAGGTCAATACGAGGATGATGATATCAGTTTTGGAATTGTTGAAGGGCTTGTGGAGAGCTTACTTCATTAGCATGTGTCCAGTGGTTAATTGCTTAC